AGGGTAAATAATGGGGTTCGGGATATGGATAGGGTAAATAATGGGGTTCGGGATATGGATAGGGTAAATAATGGGGTTCGGGATATGGATAGGGTAAATAATGGGGTTCGGGATATGGAAAGTCTTTATTGTCATTATACTGGAGCACAGATGCTACTTGTACAACGAAATTGCAGATATTGGCTGTAGAGAGATCAAGGCCCTGCTTTTTCCAGAAGAAAGATGGAGGCCCTTTCTCAACCATAGTAAAGGTTTTGACTGATTTTAAGAATCCTCTTCCCATTCACTGACATGATGCCTGAAGGTATGCACTCCTGATGAGGAGCAGAAATAGAAAGAGGGAGTCAGAGAGGAAGCAAGAAAGAGAGAGAAAAAAGAGGTAAGTTAAATATCTCCCTGGTTGGCAGCTGGGAGGGAGCAAAACGTATGTATGGGGGAGGGGGTCCCTGGGGACCGGGTTGGGAAAACACTGCCATAGGGACAGAAAAGTAGTGATATATCTACATTAAACTGTCTTACAGCAGAGCTGGCAGCCTCACTGAAGTGCCAGAGCTTTCAGAATCGTTTTGTTTACATGTCTGAGTGCCTCTGCACTGGAATATGTGTCATCATGTCTGTTATAATAATTTCCCATTAAAACATTAGGTGGCGCTATAGCACCACAAGCAAACTGAAAGCTTACCAAGTACAACATTCAAGCCCCACTACACAAATACTTATCTTAAATATAAATATTTCAATATAAAACTGAAAACACTGAAGTCTCCAGGTTTTTCCAAGCCCTTCATCGCTGTCTTCTTCATGTGGATGAACGGTGGGCTGTAACGGAAGCTGCTGTACGTTGCCGCTTTTTTACGCAGCCCATTTATCGCCAATAATTACAAGTAATCGAAAATACCCAGGTCTCAATCTCTTTGCAAGAGCTGCACATTTACCGTATACATTCATGTACAACATATTGTCGTCCAATGAAACCTTTGCTTTTTCTTTTAAAAAAGTAAAAACATAATGCTTTAAATTAAGTTTAAGAGCAATATCACATACTTTAAAGAGCTCAGTGACACCTTCACTCCAGTACCCTGGACAATGAAATCTTATTCTTCCGTATTTATGGTTCTTGACTAGTCTAGACTGCTATAATTCACTATTCAGGCTGGTTTATGCTCTGACTTAACGCGGGTCTAACAGTGAAACCTCCACGGGCAAGTGGAGATGCTTCACTATGTGAATGTGTGCAGGCAGGAATCGCTCAATCCCCTTGCAGACACTCATCTCAGCTTTTAACATGAAAGCGTGGGGATTGTGTGTGTACTTGATTGCGTTTATGTATCTCTGTTAGCATGAGCATCGGAGGGGCATGGATACCATGGCAGATTCAGGGATTCAGCACTGTTCAGCACCCCCGCTCAACAAAATCGACTGAGAGATTGAAAGCCAACCCAAGCAGGGGCCCAAGGTGACATCTTCTGAGGGGAATGTCTGGCTATTCCCCTGTCTGTAAGTGATGTTTCTGGCACCCAAAGATGAGACCACACGGTTTGGTATGCTGTCGCCATCCGTTAAGCACATGACACATGAATGTATATTGTGTAAATCCTTTCGCTATAGTATTTTCACCTGCGATTCGAAAACCTGGGGGGCGGGTCGGTTCTTTTTGTACGGACTATATTTCCCAGCATGCACTTGCGCTGAGCCGGGAAGTATTCATCCAATCGGGGTACAAAACGCGTAGAACTTCAAGTCAGACAGACGTTTGTAGAGTTTCCATGTCTTTTGCAACGAAGACTTTATCTTTTGTAGCTTGTAGTTGATTGGGGGTGTTCTGAGTTCCTGTTAGTTTTTTTTTTAATCTAAGCGGATCTCTGTGAATTTCTTTAACCCAAACTTTCATAACATAAGCTTGGGTGTGGAAACGAAAACAATGTCGACGCATGCAGTAAGTTGCTTGTTATTTAAATTTATTGGTTATTAAGCAGCTATGCATGACATGTACGTATACTGCAAGTTAGTACGAGATAGGGTACCGGCCAGTGTGCTCCTTCTTAATTGTCTTGTGTGACTTCCTTAATAAAGAAGGCTAATGCACTTTACTTTTACATATCCCAATGTTACAATCTAGCAAGTTTTTCCAGAAGTCCCCATGGTATAGATCGTAATGATTCTAGTTAAACTGGAAGAACTGAACGTGGGAGTGGAATAGAAATATTTTGGTGGTGAGGCGGCTAAAAAGGGTGCTTTGACGTTTGCCATTTGAGAGTGCTTTTTACACCTGATCCTTAGAGCAATGGTACACTGACAGTGTGATGGTGGATGTCCCCGGCGTGTTTCACGCAGATGCCCGAAGCCGCGCGCAGGGATCAGCATTCCCGCGTTAGCAGCCGCGCGACGCCAGGATTCCTGGAGCGTTTGAGCGACACGGCGGGGGGGATGCTGCTCGGGGTCGGCGTGTTCGCGCTCTCATTTTACGTACTCTTCACTAACGAGGTAGCTACCTTGCGATGGCAAGTCATGTTTGTTTTCTTATCATGGCAGCAAAGACTTTGCCACATCCTCAGCGGTATTTAAGTAATTTGTTTGCAGTAAAGTCCCCCCTCCCTCACCGCAGGGCAGAGCTTTGCGTACCACAACCTCTTTGAACGAGGGCCTCTCAAAGGTTGTGCCCCTGAACCCTGCATCTGAACCAGATTTCTTGAATAACAACAAACTGGTCCACCTGTCTGCTGTCCTGCAAACATCCCAGGTAGCTATGCTGCTGAACTCTTGCACGTTTTAACCTGCGTGCATGCATGCTTGCGCAGACACAGAGCTACAGAACTGCATCTTTCCCTCTAGCCGCTGCATGATCCCAACTACAGAATTGAGGTGAAGGCGGTGAAGCTGAAGAGGGAGGTGGAGATGTACCAGTGGGTGGAGCAACAGGAGAGCCGGTGAGAGCCACTGCAGGGGAGGGAGGTGGGGGCGACAGGTAGTGGGCCCCCTTATGGAGGGCGGAGCTGTCATGTGGTCTCCGTGTGCTCATCTCTTGCAGGGACTACCAGGAAGATGGAGAGACCAAGACTGAAACCACATACACTTACAGTGAGTACACTGCCCCTTAAGTGATGAGCAGGGGAAATGCAAGGACAAGCCATGAAACATGACTGGCGGTTAATATGCAAATTTACTGGCCATGCATGACACCAGTGGCCTGTACGGCGAAGCGGGGTTACTGGCTTATCGGAGTAACTTGTTGGATTTAAGGTAGACTGGGCAAAATGTAAGTGAACGAATAAGGAGTCAATTTAAACTGTGGTACCTTAAATCCGACAAATTACCCCGATAAGCCAGTAACTCCGCTTCGTAGTACAGGCCACAGGTACCTTAGTCCTGTTACCAAAAAACTCATAATTATGCTTTATTGTGCTGTCCAGGATTCCCAATTTAACAATTGCCATACTGGTCTTTTAAGAGTCACATGTATATTTTATTGAAATCAAAGGGTTGATATTTTCTTTTGTAATTTGTCTTATTTTTGCTCTTTTAAAAAGTTAGATGCATTACAAGAGAAGTGTTCTATGTCTTGGAACATTTATCATTGAATATAAAATGTTTCATGGAGTGTAGAAATACTGGTAGATTTAATATTTGGTTGCTATTCGAATAAAGCAGGTGTTCCTTTTCAAATGTCCCATTTGTTATCTGTCAATTAGCCACAGAGTGGAGATCAGAGGTCATCAACAGCCGGAATTTCGACAAAGAGATTGGTCACGTGAACCCCAGGTAATATGACCCTGTGTTAGGTATCCATCTTCAAGGTAAACCGCCTTGGTCTTAGCGTCTAGTGACATCATGGATGCGTAGCTTTGGTAGGGGCACAGCCTCCTGCTGGTACCTTTTATGGTGACCATAGTGCCAGGAGGGGGCAGCATGGTGGCGCTGTAGTTACCACTGTTGCCCCACACCTCTGGGACCAGGGTTCGAGTCTCTGCCATGGTTTCTGGTATCTCCCCACAGTCCAAAAACCTGCTCAGATTAACTGGAGTTACCAAATTGCCTGTAAATGTATATGTGTGAGTGAATGGTGTGTGAGTGTGCCCTGTGATGGGTTGGCCCCCCATCCTGGATTGTTCCCTGCCTTGCGCCTGTAGCCTCCAGGATAGGCTCTGGACCCCCACAACCCTGAAAAGGGCAGACTGTTACAGAAGATGGATGGATGGATATTGCCAGGAGGACTGATTGTCTGTTGCCATGGTTACAGTGCCATGGCGGTGGAGAGTGTGACTGTGGTTGCCCCAGATGTTTGGGTTGGAAGCCTCTCTCTGTCCAAAGGTATGGCGATTGCATCATCTAAATCATGCGTGGATTTGAAATGAGCACAATGGCTGTTTATGCCTCTGAACACGTTCTGCCTTTTCAGGGCTAGTGGACAAGATCAATAATTTCCAGAGGCTTCATTTGGGGCCCCTGTCCCCTGATCCCTTCCTTACTGTTCATGGAGATTATTTCTACCACACTGCCCAACCCAACAGGCCTGAGGTTTGTGCTCTCACACACTCTCTCTCTCTCTCTCTCTCTCTCTCTCTCTCTCTCTC